AGGTATAAAATTTTTTAAATTAAAATATAAACCTATAATATTTCTTAATATATTTGTTTTTTAATAATTAGTATTAAATTAAATACTAATAGGTTATATTTTTATATTTATTTAAATAATTAAAATTTTCTAATTTTATATATTAGCTATTTAATCATAGTATTAATAAAGTATAAAATTGTTTTATAGTATATATAATATTCAATGAATATTCAATGAATATTCGAATATTCATTCATAATTTTTCAATAAATATTTGAATATTAAAGTATTGAACAAATGAATATTCGAATACAAAATTTTTGACCAGATAAGACCTCTAACTGTGGGTAGTTTTTTACTAAAGAATGTAAATTATACAATGATTTTATTTTAATTATTTTAATTTTTTTGTTTCTATTTTAATTAAAAATAATATTAATAATTGGTTTTATATATAATATTTTACAGAATGATAATTTAATTGTTCTTAACATGGATGATTTTCACAATATCCATGAATATCATTGTAGTGATACAACAACTATGCATGATATTAGCTATTTTGTTACAATACTCTTAAAGGCATTGTCTGAGATAGTGTCTGTTCCATATAAAAATCTAAATCCAAAAAAGAGCATTTATAACAAAAAGGGTATTGATTCGGATATTATTGTAGAGAATGCATACTTACTTTTTTTTCCTTATTTATAGTTAAGTTATACAGAGCAAAAGGGTACGTTTGCTAGTTTGGTGTCTTTACAAGAATCCTATGATGAAAGAGTTGAGCATCTTTTAGTTCATAACTACGACAATAGGATTGAGCAACTCCGAGTAGATAGAAATATGGCAAATACAAAATTGATTAATTTAAAAAAAGGGTTTCTTTATTCGACTATAGAATATATTGATGCTCTTAAAGTCTTAATTAATATTTCTAAAGCAGAGACTTATATAAAGATACAGGTATTAATAGCATCTATGGATTATCCAGAACAACTTAATATACATCGTGCTGTAACCCGTTACATCAAGTCTGGAGATTCTTCTGAAATACCGGAGCAAATTCTGCATATTGTTCTAATAATTGGACTCTTGCATATATCCTTGAATAGCTATGAAACAGTATTTCTTTTAAATTATCAGTTTTTTGACTTGCTTTTTCATGGAATCTTTGGAAATAACAAGGTGTTGGCACAAAAGCCAAAGCCTTATAAAATTAATATACTTTTAGAACTAGCATATCAAGGCTAGTCTAAAATTCGTTCAATAGTTCTAAAAAAATTTGAACATTCCAAAGATCCTGAACCTAGATATCTTATTAATTTGTTGAATAATATAATTCCATTAGTTTTAGATTTTTACCCTATAATATTTTGAAGTAGAAATTGGCAAGCATACTTAGAAGCAATGTTTTGCATTTGGATCATTTTTTACCAATATAATCGAAGACACTATAATAAATTGTCTTTAATGTTTTTGAATGATTTTTTTTACTGGTCCAGTACTAATTATTCTATCTCACAAACTCTTACAGATTCTATTTATGTTTTTAATGACTATTTTTAAAAATTTTCACAGCTTACTTTGGCGGCAAATTAATAAGTTAAATATGGCAAAGCAGATTATTCAAGAGGTACAGATAATTGATCAGACATGTGGCAGCAATTCTTTTACCAATATGTTTGCTGAAAGCCATAATATCAGATATTCAGCAAAACAGCTGGAATATTTTAAAAAGCATTCTGCACTTTTTTTGCTAAATTTCTTTCAAGGTGTTTCCAGGAACCTTGGTAGATCAAAGGCTATTCCACTTTTGAATCCAAAAAAATATGAACTCCCGACATTAAAAACTCAAGCCAATAAAGCAATATTACTAATAGCTTGAAATACTAAACATATTCCACAAAATAATAAATTTTGTAACTTAGAAGATTGCATGGATTCTCGTGAGGTAGATTGCATTTTAATCTGTGAACATGATTATCATTTCGATTGTTTTTTTATATTAAGAAGCCAATATCAATATTGTCTTAAATATCTTACTATCGGAATTGAAAAGAATTGTAAGGCTTTTTAAATAATATTGAATTCTCTAGATAAAAAGGCAAAAAGACAAGAGTGACAAGAGTGAAGACAAATTGGATATTATTCAAGCTGTTAATAATACCAATAATAATAATTTTTCGTTAGATAAAAATGTTGATTGTAGTAATATAGATGTGCTTATAGAAAATGCCAAAGATTCTTTTTCAAATGCATATTTTTAAATAGTATTGTAGGTTTAAATACAGATTTTTAGTCTAGTTTACCAAATATATACAATATGTGAGTTTTATTTTTAATAAAAATAATATTTATTTAAGTAAAAAAAAATTTATTATTATTTTATAATCGATTTTTAAATATATCAAAAAAATTTATCAGTTTAATATTAATTAAAGAAAAAATCATCATTTTATTAAATTATATTTTTTAAAAAAGGCCTTTATATATGTTCCATACTTATGTCTATTTTATATAATTAACAGTCATGCCTATTTCACATAATTAATACTCATTTTGTAACCACAAAACTTCCATCTTATATTCTCGACTCTATTTTTACATTTTAATACTCATTTATCCTCAATGCATCTTAGACCAACATACTAAAATTGAAGAGTGAATTAATAAAAAAAAAAAAATTCAGTATTAACTAAATAGTTACTTACGTCTATTTCACATAATTAATACTCATTTTGTAACTACAAAACTTGATACCTACTCTCATCTTATCTATTTTACATTTTAATACCAATCTATTTTCAATATACCAAGAACTTAGACCAATGTACTAAAATTGAAGAGCAAATTAAAAAAAAAAATTTTAGTATTAATTAAATAGTTATCTTCAACTAAATCTATTTAAAAAAAGTACTAATAACTTAGCTGGTAGAATAATTCAAATCCCAAAGCAGTTTAAGAGCAATAAAATAGAAAAGCAGACTTCTTTATTATAGCTTTTTATTAGCTACCATGATCTGTATATGATTCGAATTGATTTCTACAATCTTGTTTAAATCTAAAAGTTCTAACAGATCTCTTACAATTTGCTTAATATAACAAGTAAAATAAACACTTCTTATCTAACTTCTAAATTATCTTGCAGATTACTGAATTACTTTGATAGTTTATAAAATAGGTTGTAACCTTTCTATTTTTTTTTGTCTTACTCTTGCCAAATTTGTATTCATGGAGCTAAATTCATTTTTGTGACAGAAATCGTTATTTTAATAAGACTTTATTAAGATAAGATAATCTACAAAATCAGCTAATCATAATAAAGCCCGCTATGCTATATATGGCATCACTTCATTATTTTGCAAAATAAAATTTATGCTGAATATAAGATATGTAGAAGAAAAAAAAAGAGTATAGAATACAAATTTCATAGCACTATAAGTAATATGATATACTATTTATATAATAAATATGTGATCACAAAAGATAATCAAACAGGTTATATAAGTTTTTTTTTTTAATTTAACTATATTTAATTATATAGTATATAATAAAAAAATCAATAATAAATTTAGATCAAGAATAGAAATATTGAAGCTTTAATGAAAATTGCTTATAAAAAGATGTCTTCTAGAAGACAGCTAGAAATTAAAACTGCTATGATGACTTGGATGATTGATAATTGTCAACTATTCTATCTTTTGTAAAATGAATCATTTAAAAAATTTATAAAAGTAGTAGTTCCTGGTTTTAAACTTCCTGGTAATAATAAAGCATGACATATTATATACGATATATTTATTTATTTGACTAATCAACTTACCAAAACATTACAAGATATTTATTCTGTTTGTATAACTACAGATTTATGGTCATCATGTAATGATAAACTATATATTGGTATTACAGCTGGATGGTTAAATTCTAAAGATTGAACACTAAAAGAGGGATTATTAGCTTGTAAAAAAATCCAAGAAAGACATACTGGTGAAAATATTAAAAATACTATAACTTAAATTATAGACCGGTTTCAACTAAAGCAAAAATTATTCACTACTATTACAGATAATAGAGTGAATGTTGTAAAAGCAATTTGATTAATGGAAATTTTACATATATTATGTTCAGCATATACTCTGTATCTTAGTATATCAAAAGGTCTTGATGCAGCTAAAGCATTTAAAAAGCATGTATCCAATCTTATTTTATTTTTTAATAGTAGCCCTAAGCAAACCAAAAACCTTAAAGATATGCAACATAAATTAAACTATTTAACAGTTTATGAAGTTCTTTTAGATATTAAGACAAGGTGGAATTTCACCTATCTTGCCTGGAAATGGTTACTTAAACTAAAAAATGCTATAATCTTAAAAATTTTTTTAAAAAAAAGTGATAAAAAGGATGCTGAATATTTAGAACAAATTAATTTAACAAATTCAGAATTGAAGTAATTTTAATTATAGTATTAGAAAAATTTTATAATTGAAAAAAAAATTAGCAAAAAATAAAAAAAGTAATTATAAAAAAAATATATATATATACAGTTAACTTTGAATATAATAAACCTCTCTGTAGTAAACACTAGATATAATAAAATAAAAATTTTTAAATTTTAATATTAGTTTGATATAAAATAAATTTTTTTTAAAACAAATATATAGTAGTAACATTATATAGCAAACTTGATTTTATTCAGAATTTAGGGTTCATTATAGAGAGAGTTAACTATATTCATTACGTGTTATAAAGTATAAAAACAATTGTATTTAATTTAATTATATATAATATTTAGTAACTAAATTGTATTAATTATTATAGCTTACTTTTCGACGTATTAGCTTTGTTAGCTCCTTTTTATGAAGCAACCAAAATGTTATCAGGCATTATGTATACTACTCTTAATATGATCAGTTATACAATGTACTATCTTAAAAAAATTGTAGCTCTATCTAAAGATGAAGATGATGAATATTATACAAATTTATTAAATGATGAATTAGATAAAGTTTCAAACCAAGATGAAGATACTGATAATAAAGTTACAACCAGTAATCAATGATCACAATTCAAGAACCATTGTGCTATAAGTTCATCTAATACTACTATAGATATTTTAGAGAAGATCAAAGCTACTATCTACTTAAGTATGTGTCAATATTAGGATCATCTAAAAGAGACTACTTTACTTTTAGCATTGTTAGATCCTTGATACAAAAAACTTAAATTTGTAACAGAAATTCAATGTAATATAGCAATTGATAAACTAAACGAGTTGTATCAAATTGAGCAAGCTGTTATTATTGAAGAATCAAATGATGATTTATTTGTTAGCTCATCTGGATCATTAGTTATAAATGAACCTTCAAGTATTAATCAAGTTAATTATTCTTTGCTTGAAATATATGAAGATTCAGATGATGAAAATAATCTTTCTGATGAAGTTGTTCGATACTTAGCTTTATCAAAAATATCTCCAAATTATAATGTACTAGAATGGTAAAAAGGTCATGTTAATGTTTTGCTAGTTTTGTTTAAATTGGCAATAAAGTATTTAGCAATTCCTGCTACATCTGTACCAAGCGAGAGGTTGTTTTCTGATACTGGTCTCCATTTATCTGCTTGTCATATTTGCTTAAAATCTAAGTTTTTGGCATCTATACTATTTCTAAAAAGAAATATGAAACTGTTCGATGTTTTTGATAAATAACTGATCATTGTTAGAATTAATATAATAATAAAGTCTAGTTAAAAGATTTTAACATATATTGTATAAAGATAAGAATTATTTTAAATAAATTTTTTTGTGTTTTATCAAACAATATAAATTTGAAAATTACTACATTTAACCGGGGGGCAAATTACCTCCCTTAGTATTTTTAGGGTTAAGGTGCAGCTTTGAGATATATAGGAGTTTTTTATATAATATATGATATATATTGGATATAAGGTTTTAATTTTAGTTTTCGTGAGGTTTTCAGGGTCCTGAACATTTTTACTTAAGATACCCGATCCCGTTTACTTAGTATGTTTTTGAGATATAGCACTTCCAAACACCCCCAAGGAAAATTACCCCCGGTTAAGATTAGCAATACTCTATAAATTTATATAAAAATCATAGTGCTTTGATCCACAATCTGACTAATTTGAAAATTCGTATTAAATGTGAATATTCTTATCTATTAATTTTAAATGGATAGATCCATAATAAATTTCGGATTGAGGATAAGATTATTCAGATCATGGTCCATGATTCTGAATGGTTAATGCTAATCATACTATGCCTACTAGTAATTTAAATCTTTTTTTTGATCTTTAACACGTCTGTCTGTGGCACAGTACTTTTATATAGTATTTGTTTTGTATTATGTTCTAGAGAAATCTAATTTATGACTCAGGCTAAAATGTATATCATGAATATAGTAACGAAGACAAATAGACAAAACAATAAAGTATTATATTGTTTGCATTTTTTATAATAATATATACTATTTTAATTTAACAATTCTAGAGATTTGTTTAGTTTTTACACCGAAAGTTTATCACTAAAAAAAAAACCAGTAAAATAGCAAAATTTTTTTTAATTAATAAATATTGTATTTATACTGAATCAGTACATATTTCTATTTTTATTATTGAGCTAAAGATTAATATAAGGATTATTTTAAGTACTATATTGAATAATTAATATTGCATATGTAAATTATATGAATTAGATATATTATTAAAAAGACTAATATATGTATTAGTAATGGGCATATTGGTAAAAAAAAAGATTCTTTACAAAATTTTAATATATAGTACAAATATCCATAATCAAAATACTAAATTCTAACTTTTTTTTTTTTTTTAATATTAAGGTGACCACTTAGGTCCCCGGCACTTAGCTTTATTCAGGTAATTACGATATTACATCAATTTCACGAGGATACAACTAGCCACATGTGTACTTTTGGTACCTAATTTAAGTAGTCCGCCTGGGTTCTACACTAGCCGCCATACCTGCAACCTAACTAGGAGATTACCTATTTAAGCTCTCTGATTATTTACTAACAAGAGTACAACTAGCCATACATGCAACTTTTGGTTGCCTATTTAAGTAGTCTGCCCTAGGTTCCACACTAGCTGCTGTACCTGCACCCAACTATGGGGGATACCCATTTAAATCCTCTGGCTCCATTTCTGTAATAACTAAATTCTAACTTTAAAGAGCTGTTAGAATAATTTTATAATATGAACTTTCTTATTCTAATATTAACCTTTCAATCTGTTAAGTATTATCTGAATAATTATAAGATATTTAGATAGTTTTGAAAAATTAAAATCAAAGCTCTAAAAAACTATAAACTAGATAACAATTAGGTGTGTTTAAGTGATTGTACAGTGTTATAGCTAGAGAAAGAGACTTAATACCAAGTTTATATTGGGGTAGTTAATTATCTCTATTAATAATTAAAACTATTAGAACTAATCATTACATGGAGGTCCAAGATTATGACAGCCAGACCCAACATACAGGACAAGGCTATAGTAACCTGTGCAGCTGTGAGAGCCAAGCCAAAAACAGTGAGTACCTTTGTAAAAAACACCTTATTCTCAAATTCCAACTTATCTCAACCTTTTGAGGATACATGCTTTAATAACTTCCTTCACAAACACAATTTACCTCTTCTTCTATTACCTTAAACACTTAAATTATTTCTAAAACATCTTCTTAAACATTCATTTACTAAACCTTACAAAATATCAATCAATACAATAACTCTTGAAACTTATATATATATTAATCTTCAAAAAACAATTCTACCAAACCACTCTTTATTAAACACATCCCAATATAAACTATACTTTAACTCACTTATCAAAACATTAACGACTCCAATCTATATCTCAGACTATTTATTTAACAACACCACTGATCTTGAATAACCTAATACTTTTCAAATCCAACAAATCAAAATTTGCTCATTAAACTCAAATAGTCTTTCCAATATTTCTAAACAAAATTTAATCTATGATTTTATTACTGAAAATAGTATTGATATTTTTGGTATTTCAGAAACTCACACTACTTCAAAAGAAGCAAAATTTCTCTCTCTTTTCAAAAACCTAACAAACTACCAAAACTTCTGAAGCTCTACAAAAAACAATCAACAAGGTGGTGTAAAACTTTATATTTACAACCAACTTGCTAAATATATAGGAAAAATTAAAGAATATTAAGGACACTTAATAAACATCACTTTCTTTTTTCTTACAATCTCTATTCAAGTATATTTTCTTACTCAAAAAAAACACAACCTAAAAAAAAAAATCCAAAACCAAATCAACCACTATATCCAAAACTCTCAACACAAAACCATCCTTATGGGTGATCTCAACTCAGTACCTAATCCCAAAATTAATTGCCACCCCTTAAAAAAACCTCTTCACCTGAATCACAACTAATCAAAACTTTAAAACCTCAATTCTATGATATATTTAGACTATTTCATCCAAACACTCTCAAATATATATGTCAACACAAGAACTTATTTAGCAAAATTGATCAAATTTGGACAAACTTGCCAATTACACTTCTCAAATATGCTGAGATTCTTGATTCAATTCCAATCGAGTTAGATTATACTATTATTCAACTAGAAATAACACTCTTTTTAACTTACAAAAAATATTTACAACCTCACAGAAAAATCTTTAACTGGAAGACTATTATTTCAAATTATATAGAACAATATCAAAGCCAAACAACTAAAAATCTGAAAAAACTATTCTCACAAATTGCTCATATCCAAAACCTAAATAATCTTGACTATACTTGGAATCAAATTAATAAAATAATTACACAAGCTGCTTTCAAAAACTTATCTTATAAAAAAATTAAACCCAAATCAACCTTTTCCAAATCTTCTAAAATTCTTACCTCTTACTATTACCAACTAAAATACCTAATCTTATTAAAAAAATTACTTAAAACCAATAATATATCAATTTTACTTCTCAATTACTACAACAAATACTCACATTATACTCTCCTCTCATCTAATATAATTTCTAATATTCAACCTTCACAATTTAAAACTATACTTAAAACAGAAAAAAAAAATATAAAAAAACAGCTAAAACTAGAAGAAAAACAACAAATTCAAAAAGAAATTTCTTCTAAATTACAGAAAAAAAACACAAACATTAATCAAAATTCCAAACTTTTTTATAAAAAAGTTCTTGAAAGATTTGACTCAAGTATTCATCTTGATAGATTACTTTCTTCTGAAAACAATCTACTTACCAACCCTTAGAAAATCAAAAACCAAATACAAAACCACTTTCAAAACTATTTTAAAGAACAACCACTACCTCCACTAACTTCTAACTCAGAATTCTTTAATTTATATCAACCACAACCAAACTTAGAAGTATATTTTTAAAACTTATTATCCAAAATCACAATAGAAGAATAGCATCTTGCTATAAACCAATTACCAAATCAAAAAGCTGCTAGTCCCTCTGGAATGAACTATGAACATTTCAAAATACTTTCTTTTAAAAGCCAAAATCTTTTTTGTCTTTTTCTTTCAAAATACCTACAAATACAACAAATTTCTACAGCATAGAAAATATTTTACATTTTTCTCATCTCTAAAAAATCAAACTGAGATTATACTTTAGACCAAATCTGTCCTATTTCTTTAAGGCCATACAAATTTAATTACTTGGTTTTTATAACATGAAATTTTAAAAATAGACCCGGACAGCCAGCTTTTTTTTTTAAATTTCATATATAAAATTTTATAAAATTTATATAAAAAATTTTTTTAAAACCCACCCAGTTACTATAACATATAAAAAATTTTTTTTAGAAGTTTTCAAATTTTGACCTGGCCGGGTTATGAAAACCAATTAATTAATTTTGCATGGCCTAATTGAACTACTTAAAAAATACTTAACCAAAATTTTTACTACATGTCTTGACCAAATAATTACTAAAAACCAACTTCTTAGTGATTTAAACTTCGCTGCAACCAAAAACACCTCTACTCATATCCCAATCCAAATTCTCCTTAATACAATTGAATATTATAAACATTGCAACAAGGAAGCCTAGATACTATTTCAAGATATGTCCAAGACCTTTGACAAGATTAATATCTAAAAATTAGGTAATGTATGCAGAAAAATTGGCATGCCTCAAAAAAGTATAAACTTTATCACTAATCTATATTTAAACCAAAATGCCAAAGTAATAATAGCCTATAGTACAACACAACCCATTACACTCCTCTTTGGTATCAAACAAGGTAAAACCTTCTCTTTCCTGCTCTGAAAAATCTATTATGACCCTATACTTTTCTTCATAATCCACAAATATCACAAATACTTTTTAAAAATTTATACACTTTTATCTTTTAACCAAATAACAAATACCCAAATACTACATTTAACTATTTCTCCTCTCGCATTTAGAGATGACACAGTTTGGCACTGTGAAAACCAAACTATCTTTTAAGATTTGCTAAATAATCTTATGAAACTCTATAAATTTAACAATATACAAGTTAATCTCTCCAAATCTGATCTATTATACCTCAAACCTAAATCTAAAAACACAAATCTTCAACAAACAAACAATACTCTTACTTTTAATAATGAACCTATATACTCTCGTAAATCTACAGATATAATAAGATATCTTGGTATTTTTTTTGATGA